GAATGTGCCCTTCAAGACAAACAAGACACCAAGGAACATGCTCTGAAAGATCTTCTGAAAGATGTGTGGAAGTAGTGAATGAGTTACACACACACCCAAATCCCCTAACAGTAAGTGGCCAAGTAAATAAAGATTGGTTGTTTATTGGGAAAGGAGGCAGAGGAATTAGGAAAAAAAATTATGTGTGCTTATGGCAAAGGAGGTGTTCCTCATAACTCTATACAAATATTTATAATCCTTTAAGGATTCTTGCGAAATGTCTGTATAAACTGAGAACCTTATGAAAAAGAACATTAGGCTTTTAGAGTCCAAAAAAATAAACTCTTATATACAACCTAAACTTTCACAATGGATTTCACTTTAGATATACGGCATAGCTCTTATTACCTGGCAGAGCTCTTACATTTGCTGCCTCTCTCACTGTGCCAACAACTTAATGAGATGTGCAAAAGTAACTATACCAGTAGCAGCATGTCACATTAATATAGTTATTTATGGATTTCAAACATGACTTCCCATATATCTTCTTTCTGAAATCTTTCAAAAAGGTGACAGGAAAATATTAGCCATCTTTCTGTTTTCACCAAATTAAGCATGAGGCCAGTGGTGGGTGATGGGCTGTAAGCATATATGAGCTACTGTCTTGGCCCAACAAGAATTGCAGTAGTAATGGTGATTACGAGAGTAACAGTAACAGCTGTAGGTTCGAGGACTGAATATACAGGGGTGGGCAAACGTAGGTTTATAGGTGTTCATATGGAAAGTAGTACAGTAATTAATAATCATACAAGAATAAACTCTGTGTTTCACATACTCATAACTATAAACCTACTTTTGTATGTCAGATTTTCTCCTAAGTGCTTTATGAGTAAGGTTGTTCTGAACACATTTCTTGGTGAAATTTTTCGTGAGGGGCACATCCCGGCTGGTGGCCCAAGAGTTGTTAATAACTATTGACCAATCACATCTGTTTGTTCTGTCCATAAACAAAAACCTTGTCAGATTTCCTTGAATCTCTTCTTCACCCTCCAATCCAATATTAATTTTGCCACCCAAGTCCAATGGACTTTAGAAACTAAATATCTCTATATTCATGTCTCTTACTTATTTTGCCATCATACAGCCCTTTCAGGTCATTGTTTTTCTTATCCCCATTTTACAGAAGACAAAACTGAGGTTCAGAGTTTTAATAACTTGTCCGAGTCCACATGGCCAGTAAGGTGTGGAGTTTGGATTTGAACATAAATCTATTCAGAGCCCAAATCTGCCTCCAGAGTCCAAGTTCTTAATAATATAACTACAATTAGTTGGGAACTTTCTTATCAGATTCCAAGCACTGTGCTATAGGCTCTGTCTATGTTATCTCATTCAGTGTTCCCAACTCCACAGCCTTATGCAGTAGGTACTCTTCTTATCCTGCTTCTACAATTGAGGAACCAGAGACGCAGAGGTTATGCAACTTGCCCAAGATCACATTGCTCATGAATGAGCCGTCCCAAGCAATTTCATTCCAGATTCCAAGATGTTACTGTTTGTTAAGCTACTCAGAATTGGAGTTCAGAATAGTTAAAGGATTTGTCAAAGACTATAGGTCAGCTAAGTACAGGACCAAGGCCAGGACCCAACGCCTCACAGTGCATAATATTTCAGGCATGCGGTGCTCTTACCCAGTCTCCATTACAGGCCGGTTATACTCTCAGCACTGACATCACCCTCTGTGTGAGTCCCTTCCGCTCCATCTAGTGATTTCATGTCAGCAATTCCCCAGTGCTGTCTCTACAACTCTTCCATGCCTCCTGCTGCTCTAGCTGGGGACAGATCCTTCGCCTCCCCACCTCCATCTAGCCTCCAGTCCCTAAGCTGATCTGCTGTCTGGGAAAGCCCAGACTGATTACTGCACAGCCCCGGCAGCATGCTAATAACCAAGGGCACCCCTCAAATTTACCCAGTGCCATTGTGACTTCCTACCTTTTGAAACCAGACATTTCAAGCTAATAGAAGCCACAGTCCCAGACAAACCCTGCCCATCCCCCTCCCTGATAAATTTTACTCTATTGGCTATGATGCATCTCTTCCAGATGTTTCAAGTTAAGATTGGGAAAGTTGTGTTTTTACTGGATTGAAGCACAGCGCTTGGCTGACATTTTTTGGCCCTTCATACACCCCTTAGATTTATCAGCTAATTGCAGACACTTTGAGAGAATAATACAGTGTGTGTTTATTATGACAAACCCTGCTCAGTGTGTCTTTGTGGCCAAAGATTCACGGGCGTTTCCTTTACTGACCCCTGGTTAAGTATTAGAGTTGATTCAAAAAGATTGGTTTAAAGTCAAGAGCTTACATGGATGAAAATATTTCATTTATGTGTTTTGGTGGAGTTGGGGATGGGGACAGAATAGATCCAATAGCTCAATTTTTATTCTTAAACTGTTTTTGAAATCTTTTGTTGTGGATGATAGAAGGATTTATAAAGGGATGCCAAATGCCTTAGGAATTTTGTTTAAAACATCAAAAAATAGCTTCATGGTTGTTCTAATGCCACTATTTATTAAGTTTCTCCATATGGGTGAATTCTGTTTCTTCCAATGTGGCCTGTTTGAAGATTTGCCTGAGGAAATGTAAAAGGGGGTGGTTACCTCCCTCAGTCACGGCCACCACTGGCTGAGCGGGCCCTTCAGGCAGGAAGAGCCCAGTGACAACAAATTGGGAATAGAGGGTGAACGATCATCACAATTCAAGTCAGACAGTTGTTGCCTTGTGTATGAGTCATTGTACATCAAAATCTTGGTAAGTCCCAATCCTAGGACATTGCTGCATACACAAGAGACCTAAAGGACTGAACCAACCCTAGGAAAGGGGAGGGTGGAGGAGCTGGCAGAGAAATACAGATGCCCAGGGTCTGTCTTTGGGGTCCCTGATCCCAAGTAAGAACGACAACGAAGGGAACTCAGGAGCTAGTGGTGGTACCAGGCCCCCCGAGCCAGCTGTGAAGATCACTGACTCTGACAGAGATGGGCACTGGATGTGAGGACTTGGGGGCACACGAATCATCCTGTAGTAAAACAGATGTGGGGACTAGGGGAAACTGAGTTTGTTCTTGTGTTTGGGGGTGGGCAGAGGTGGCTGGGTAAGCCAGAGGCCAAGGAAAGAGGGCGAAAGCTGGCAGAAAGATGCAGGTTGCTCCCTGCTATGAAATCAGAGGGAAGCTGAAAACAAACAGCAGAATCCAAGTATGAAAACGCCTTTCAATTGTTTAAGAATGGGAAGGAATATCAGGGAAAATAGCTGGAAATCTGAATTTTAGAACTGCCAAAAAAAGAAATACTGCTTTTTATGACTTTCAGGTACATAAAGTTACCTAAAATACATGTTTGTGAGGCAACTTGGTTCAATGAATACACTTTAATGTTTTGTCATCTGCACATCAGAAAAAGATTTTCTGAAGCATGTTCCTTTCCTTTCACAATGCTTCTCTATGAGGACGCCCAGGTTGCTCTCTGGAATGGGTAAATATTATCTCTTCTGAGAAGCTGGCTTGTTTTTATTCTACAGATTGAGAATCTCATAAATATTGTCTGTCCTCATTTGCTACTAGAAAGCTTAGAACTAAATCCATGAGCCACTCCTAGTAAGGAAATAAACTCCTCACAGTATATTTTTTCTATGATGTTCACACTCCTTATTTCATCTTCCCCTTATTTTCCCTTTAATCCATTCCCTCCTCTTTTGTAATTTATTATAACTTTTATTTGATTGTAACTCTTGGTGTATGTATTACTTAAACTGGAACAAAATAGCATATGTAGATAAATACCTCAACACAAGTGTTTCCCAATGCAAAAACATGAGTTTTCTTTTACTGACTTTAAGTTTTATAACTTCACTCTCAAATTCCTCTGACAAATGTCCCTTTCATAAATAGAAAAGATGGTTTCCTTCAGCCCTGTAAACCCCTCAGTTTCCAAATTAAGGCCCAAATAAAGATGTTGCATTTATTTGGTAAATTAACTCAGCATCCTATACTTGTTTAAAATGCTTGGTTGAAATTTCATAATCAACATTAAGTAAGAGACAAGATTTACAAATGGTGGAGAGAAGTGTATACCCTACCAGTCAGAAACCCTGCTTCGGCCAGGAGGCTTCTTTTCTGAGTCCCTAAGCAGTCATGGGACCCCACCACATGCTCCACCCAGCCCTCCAAGCCTCACTTGGGGGAAGACTACATTTCCACTTGGTAAGGCATAGACGGTGCCCCTGAAGAGGGCCGCACAGCAAAGCAGCCTTCAAAACCCTCTCCCACAACTTCTTTCCAAACTTTTCTAACAAAAAGGGAACGGAGTACAAGAATCTAAAAACCATCCTCTAGAGGGTAGGCCATCTCCATCCTCCTCTCCAGCTTTGTCTGTTATCATCATTTCTGTTTTTTATTTTTCAAACTCCTTTTGCTCCAGCTGAAGAGATTTATGTATTTCTACTTTCTCACCTTTGCTCCTGCCATTCCCTGTCTAGAGCCCGACCGTCACCTGACTCACTCCACTCCATGGGCAGAGTCCTACCTGTTTGGCAAAGTCTTTCCCAATGAACCAGACCTCAGTGACCTCCCCCATGAACTCCGTATCTCCTCTGTCTGCCTCTTTGCTCTGGCATCTACCATATATGACCAGCCATTGTTGTTTATCTCTTCAAATCTAAGTTCTATTTCCCCAACAAGAGGTCACACCTCCCCATAGCTAGGTCTGGCATATCATACACTCAATAAACATCTGCTGAAAGAACAAAGGAATGGATAATTCTTATGGCTTTGGGGACACCTAGAAGCATCTAACACAATGTTAGCTCATTGAATATTTAACATTAAGGACACTAGTAAAGTACTCTCCACACACCCACCCACCCACTGCAGCATAATGTCTTTGAACCTTCCTATCTTGGAAAATTGAAGGGAAACCTCGGTTTTAACAAAATAATCTGTGCCTCAACTTTATTTCCTTTCCTTCTAGATTTTGAAGAAGTCCTGCATTGAAATTCTAGCAGCCGAACCATCCACTATATGTGCGGGAGGTAAGTTGAAATTAAGTGCTAATTGCTGTCATAAAAATGAGAGTTTGAGCTCAAATCACATGTTGACTTCATTGGTGGGAAAGAGGGGAAGCAAGGCAGGAAGGGGGGAGGGTGGAGAGAGGAGTAGAAATTGCTAAATACATTTGCTTTTAAGGGGAAAAAAGAGAAAGAAGCAACATGTCAGGTGTTTGAAACTTTGAAAACATCTGTCCAAACTCTCTTTTTGTGGCATTAATTGTGAGTATCGCAGAAATAGTGGATTCCCACACATCATCACCACCATCACCTGTGGTGGATAGAAGTGGAGTCTAACCCTATATACTCGCGGCAGCCCTGCAGGTACCAGACGCTCTCCGTGATCATAGGCCACCCCTGGAAGCAATATTTAATTACTTAATTAATTGGTGCTGGCCTCGCTCCATAATTAATATATTGACCTTAATTAATTGCTCAGTCTACCAGTCCTCCCAAAATTGTGTCCGGCAACTTCAGTTGTCCTAGAAAAGGGCCATTATAATTTTGTCCATTATACAGGATGTGTTTACTTACAAAAAATCAGCCTTCTCTGAATCACAATATTTTCTCTAACTGATCCAAATTGTGGGTCTTGCTATTGTTTTATATTGTAACAGACTGCCTAAAACTAAAGCCAAGCTGGCTCTTTTTGTATAATTCCTGACATGTTTCCCATCATTCTTATTTATTTAAAAAGTATTGTTAAGCACCTACTGAGTACCAGGCACTGTTCTGGGTTCTGGAGCTACAAAAGAATAAACTCTGTCCATGCCTGTGCTCTGGGAGCCTGAGTCTGTCACCATTGAGAGGTCACTGTTTATATCACCTTCCTAGTCTCCAAAACATCAAGTGCCAGTTATTAGTTTATTACAGAAAATATATTATACAATCATATAAGCATTGAAGAAGAACTTGCAGCCTTTTTCAAATACAGTACATGTTTATCCTTTATGGCAAATAATTATTGGTATGAGTGAAGCAGTTCCTTAGAGATTCCATTCCAGTTGGTTGGCTATATTTACAATAGCTGAAAAATTTTCAAAGAATTAGAGGCACTGAATAATTATTTGCCACCAACAAAACATTAAGTATATATGTAAACATATAAAGTTGTTAATATTTGGTGACTTTTCACAGATATGTGCAAACTTCCCAAAGAAAAGCAATCAACAAAAATTACCTACTGACCTTTAAATAAATTGCTACCTGGTAAGACAGATGGCAGGGACAGGTGCAGTTGCCACGGTACAGATCTAGGAGAACCTCTTTAAGGAGAAGAACTGAAAAATCTTACCTTTGCAAATTTAACAAATGAGTATGACCACGGGAGCCCAATGCCAGAGCCTTGTAAGGAGTCTGTGTGGTAAGGAGCCTCAGCCAGGGCTCATTAGCTTCAAGGTAAACCCACCTCCACAATTTTTTCATTTAAAATAATTGGAAAACGGGGGAGTTCTTTAACTGTACGGTTATCCCATTCACGCATAAAACCCAGACTTGCAGTTCAGCGAAACTTCTGAGTGTGTTTCCAACTTCATAGTGAATCCGAGAGTCTAAAGACAATGCATACGCTTCTGTTAATTCACTGGCATAATCAAGTCCCCTCCTAAAGGGGTCTTGAGGACAATTAAGGAATTTTACTTTTCTCCACTTCCTGATAAAGTACATGGCACTTAACAGGTAGTCAATCAATGTTGACAGTATCTTGATTCATATATTCCTTCAGCAAACACTGCACTTGTTTTTGCCCATTTGACCCTCATTAACTCCTTTTACTTCACCTTAAGAAATTATCATACTTTTAAACTAATTAAAATGAAGAAAAACTGGAAATTAATAGACAAAGAGAGAAAGAACAGTGACAAAATAAAAACAAAATTTCAACTTGGACAATAGAAAAATATCTTCCTAAATAATTCTTGAATCAAAGATTAGCAAACTGAAATCTCCTTTACATACCATTGAGGTATTTGAGGCAATAAAAAAAGGCCACATATATAAAATGAATGTGGCACAGAAATATCAGGGTCCACAAGAACTGATCCTAGGAAACACATTGATTTTAATATATTTATTATTACATGGAAAACAAAATAAATAAAAGATATTTTTAAAAGCCAAGGAAAATAGGAGATAAAAATATTAAAATGCATTCGTGAACTTAAACAAGTTAAAGTAATTTAATTGAAATTTTTTCCAAGAACTATTTCTTTGGTAGGAACAATAAAGTAGGCAAATCTCTGGCAAATCCAATCCAAGAAAACATTTTAGATAAGTTTTAAATCTCTGGCTTTTATGCAATATGCCATATTTTATAGACAAACAATCGTCTCCTGTGTCAGGGTCAACTACCTAATTCCATTTCCTTTATTTCTTTTAAAGAAAAAATTACTACAGGACGCAGTGATGGAAGCTAGCCCTAGGTTTTGAAGAGCCAAGCTCCCATCTTTCTTGAATTAGAACATGCTGATTACAGAATAGCTTTACTAAGAAGGAAATGAAAGTTCCAGAAGAAATCCTTACACCAACAAGTTCTTCCATGGATTTCTTTCAGGGCCTAGTGCTGATCGTTCCCTGGAAGCATGGCTTTTGTGAAGCACTATTTTATTTCACTCATCCTATTTCATTGTCCATGACTGTGAACTCCTGTCAAGTAGACCTCGGTTTACCCCTCTGGGATTTTCTTTAGGTTACGGCCAGGACTCAGGGATTTACAGGAAAGTGCTTTGAAAACCACACACTGTTATGCAAAACTAGGCAATATTATTATCATCAATGTCATTTTAATGAGGATTAAAGGTCAAGGTGAGAATCTTAATGTTGACCTACCTATATGAGAAAAACTTTTCTGTATGTGTCTCTACAAAAAAAAAAAAAAATGGGGAGAATATTGGTAGAGTTCAGAGTACCTGCAAAATGATTAATTATTCATGTGCTAGAAGAGAAAGTAAATAAGGAAATAACTTATTGTTTATATTTCCAAGTGTAGTGGGGAGACTAAGCCCTAGAGAGATCTGTGGGAAAAAAGGTAGAATTTGCTTTCATCAAAACCTTATCTCAGCCCCCTCCCCTCACTCTCTGTAAAAACTTCCCTTCCCGGCCCCCAGAGCAGCCCCGCTGTGGAGCCCCACCAGGCCTTTCCGCTCAGGACCCTCAAGCTGCATTACCCCAAGGCAATGACCTAGGCTGGCTTTCACCAACAACAACTCAATGACAGCCCTGGTTCTGACAGCAACTGTGCCCCGAGGGAGGCAGAGAGATAATGCAGTAGGGGGCACAACAACGCTGAAATCCAACATAGATCTTTATATATGTTGAGCTGCAAATGACAGGGTGAAATTTAATGGGGCATATCTGAAATGTTGGCCTTGGGTTTAAATAGCCAGTTTCACATTACAGACAGATTTAGGGAAACCTGTCTTAGTTGATATGGAAGGAAAGAAAAAACAAGGAGAATCATACCTATCCTGATATCTGATAAGTTTGCTTCTGACCAAAAAAAAAAAAAGGCTGTTGTAGTCTTAGGATGAATCAGTAGCCATCCAGTGTCCAGATCAAGAGAGCCCATTCCATGCCCTACTGTTCTGGGTTCAGACTGTGGTTCCAAGTCCCATATTTTAAGAATGACGTTGACAAAGGCATGCCCATAGGAGAAGATGTGATCTGGAAGCCACTGCCAGAGATTTTAAACTGGCAGCCTACAAACCCTGAGTGGTCTGCACATGTGTTCCTTTCCATCCACACTGTATTTTTTTTTTTTTTTTTAAGAAACTTTAAACTTATTGCTAACATTTAAAAGTCTGATTTTATCTAAAAATTCACATTTTCATCTTGATTTGAAAAATCAGATCTGGCAACACTGGACCTGTATTTATTGCAAGGTAATTAGTAGAGATTGAATAACTTTAAAAGAAGTGTGTACTTTTTTCTGTTCATCATACCCCTCACCACTCCCTATTGTCACCTAATACTCAGGCCAAGCATATGGCTGTCACTTAGCATGGCGCCTCTGTCACTGGATTTACAGTCCCTGTTCTAAAACATATAGGAAGTCACCTGCTGTGTGGAGAGCCTTTATAGCACCTTTTTAACATTACCTGCATTTAAATAATTCTGCTTCCCTTCCAATACAGACTTTTTAAAAAAGTTCCTAATTAAGAATTTTTTGTAAATTTGTCTCTGTATATTTAGGAGAATTGACCCATTGTTGGATTGGCCTTGCCTAGTTTAGCTCCTCTCTAGGAAATGCACCCTTTTGCCTAAGCCAGTTTTCCTCGGGCCCCACTTAGTTGGCCGTAAACTTGAACAGTTCACAGTGTATTATGTGAGCAAGTAGTCCAGGAAGGAACTAATTGGAATTAAGTGTGCAACCTGCCAACTGCTCCACATTTGAAGCTTTTGTACTCCAGAAATGGAAGGAGGTTATAATTAGCTCCTCACATTGTCATTTCCGAAGCAGTTGTATTATTCCTGCTGTGTCGCTTCCCGCTGTTTGTAATAAAACTGGGTGAGGTAGCTGAAAAGGAAGGGAGTTTTAGGCTTCATGTTTACCATTTGGAAATTAGATGCTTAAAAACAGACACATTTAAGCAACATCAAATAGTGGTTTCATTTCTTTCCTTTTTCATTGTTTTTCAAAGCAATCATGCCTGGCCCTTAGGCACCTCTCTGGATAGATTGTTTAATTCCCTGCTCTATCTTTCTTTCACTTAAAGATATTTCTGTTTGGAGGGGGGATTCTCGTGCAGTGTTGGTGAGAATGTAAAATGACAAAATCAATTTGGAAAACAGTTTAGACAGTTTTTAAAAAATCAAACACATATCTACCATATGACCTAGCCATTCTAGTCCTAGGTATTTACCCAAGAGAAAAGGAAATCTATATCCAGATACATACTTGCATACAAATGTCTGTAATAGCTGTATTTTAATACCCAAAACTCTAAAGAACTCAAATGTTTACCAGCAGGGAAATGGATAAACAAACTGTGGTTTAGCCAAACAATGAACAATACACAGCAATAAATAAGAGTAAACTATGCATAAATATCAAAATAATTATGGATGAGTCTTAAAATAATTATGCTAAGTAAATGAGGTTAGACAAAAAGTTACTTACCATATGAGTTCATTTACATAAAATTCTAGAAAATGCAAACAAATCTATAATAGGAAGCCGATCAGTGGTTGCAGGGGAGCGGTGCTGGGTGAGGCAGGCGGGGATGACGAAGGGCACAGGGCAACTTCTGAGGGCGATGGGTGTGGTCACTATTTTGATTGTGGTATTGTCCCATGATTATTTACGTGTGTCAAAACTAATCAAGTTATATACTTTATATGCAAGTTATTGAATGTCAATTACACCTCATAAAGCTGTTATAAATAAATAGTTATAAAATTTTTAAAGTTCTAGAATAATTTAGGCATCAGAAAGCACTTAATATACCTTGGTCACCATATTATATTTTATATGTTTCATTAAGCATCTAATAAACAAGAGCAAATGCAAACGCACTCATACGATGAAATATCACTAACAATTTTGCAGGAAAAGTCTTGGGAGGCAGAAAAAAATGGAGATTATAGAGATGTCTCATTTATAGATACAGTAAATGATAGTCTTTATTAAGGTCATTTCAAAATTATGAGTTCCACATTTCAAAAAAAATTTTTTTTTAAATACAAAAGGAAGGAACAGAATGGAATAAATCTATCAAACTATTCACTGACCTTAATTTTTCTCTTTTTTTAATTGAGCTAAAAATTCATATACCATAAAATTCACCCTTGTAAAAAATAAAAGCAAAAAAGAGAAAGGACTCATGGACATGGACAACAGTGTGGTGATTGCAGAGGTGGGGGAAGAGGGGGAGGTGGAAGAGGGTATAAGAGAGATAAATGGTAATAGAAAAAATAGAGTAAAGGGGAGGAAATGCAATAATAAAGGGGAGAGAAACACAATTCAATGGTTTTTAATATATTCACAGAGGTGTACAACCATAACTACTGCCTCATCCCAGAATATTTCCATCACTCCAAAAAGAAACCCAAAGTATTCACTTCCTAATTACTCCCACCTCTAGCCCTGGCAATAGCCAATCTATTTTCTGTCCTTATCAATTTGCTAATCTGGACTCTTCATATAAATGTAATAATACGATATATGGCCTTTTGTATCTGGCTTCTTCTATTTAGTATAATGTTTTCAAGATTCATCCACGTCTTAGCATGTGTCAGAACTTCGTGGATGAATAATATTCCCTTGTAATAATACCATAGGCATCAGTTGATAGACATTTTGGATTTCCATTTCTCACTATTATGAATAAGGCTACTTACTATGAACATACTCCTACAAGTTCTCATGTAGACCCACATTTTTAATTCTCTTGGATATATACCTAGGAATGGAATTTCTGGGTCATCAGATAATTCTATTTAACTTTTTAAGGAACTACTGAACTGTTTTACAAAGCACATACACCATTTTGTATTCCCACCAGCAATGTATGAGGGTTCTAATTTCTTCACCAGCACTTGCTATTGTCCATCTCTTTTATTATAGCCATTCTAGTGAATATGGATTGATATTGTGTTGTGATTTTGATTTGCATTTCCCTAACAACTAATAATGTTGAACATCTTTTCACTCATTGACTTTATTAATCCTCAGAAAATAAACAGGATTAGACCTGACTAGCATGGGAATAAATGACCACCTACTCCTTCCCCTTTATTCACTTTCTAAGCCAAAATGTCATTTATTTATTTATTTATTCAATAAGCTTATACTGAGACTGACTCAGCCCTGAATGAGACACAGTCAAAACTTCTGAAGAAATAGAAACAATAGCCTCTACCATCAGGAGGCTTAAATTATCATTGAGAATAAGAGTGACAAAAGAATCATAATAAACATCTGTCTTAAAGATACCATGCCTTAAAAAATAGGTATCTTAAAAGATTAGGTCGAAGATCGTTTTCAAGCAGAAATTATTTCCTGAAGCCCTGCGAGCCCTAGGCACTTCTTAAGAGCTGTAATCCAATGTGCAAACTGCCAAAAAACACTTAGCTGTGCATATTTTGAAGGGTAGGTTTAGGGCTTTGTGGATAAATGGAGTTAAATCAGTATGCCCTGGTTCTGGAGTGTCTTGGTTCTCACTTGCTGGCGCACTCATTTGACAGGGTTTTGTTACATAACTTGCATGTGTGAGGAGCTGACATTCTCATCAGGCTGCTGAGTCAGAAGTTTAGGCTCTTCTGGAAACCACATGTGCACACTAACACAGAAACTGCCCCCGCCTCTCTCCTTCTGTGTTTCCCGCAGCATCACTGCCTCCATCTTCTTCTCAGGCGTAGGGGGTTAAATAGTTGAGTTTCCAGCATTGCCACATCATGGATTCCTGATGTCTTTCTTCCTAAACACTGTGAGGTTGAGCCAAACAGACCTGTGGGCAGCCTCTTTTATAGAGGACTCAGCAGCTGAACTCGTAATGCTAAAACATGTTGTTAGAGAAGAGACCTCGGCATGCAGCCTGCATTTCCAGAGTCTTCTCTCTGTCTGCTGGTGTCGGAGGAAACAAGAGAAGTAGATATAGAAATGAGGCAGAAAACATTTTTAATCAACCAAAGCATTCAATGGCAGATTTCTGGAAGTCTAGCATTCAAACTAAAACCAGAAATAGGTTTCTATAGGTTTATTTTGAGTAAATAAGATACAAAAAGAATCTTCCACAGTGTTGTTGAACCAAGGGCATCATCAGACATGCCAGGCAGACCTCTAAAGAAAACCATAGCAATTGTGTATATGCACTGACATGCATATATTGAATACTTAATATTCATAGGATTTATGGTCTCAAAACCATGTGCCCATGACCTTAATTAATATAGTTTAAAACTAAGGCAGCGAACACTTGGATACAAGTCCCAGTTTTTGCTGCTTACTAATTCCATGACCTTGGGCAAGTCATTTAAAATGTCAGACTCTCAAGTTCCTTATTGTTATGGTTCATTACACTTGTAAAAAGCATTCTGTTCAAATTTGTGCTCTTTGTGGCACACATAGTGCCTCTGGGTTCTTTTATTTCAGCTTCTTGCTTTCCATCCAGGCTAGCTCCACTTTTCCATCCAGGCTAGCCCCAGAGCTGCAAAATGGGCAAGCCTGCCTAAAATAAAAGTAAAATAGGCCTAAAAAATTATAGCATCAGTCTCTAAATTAGTCATATGTCACAAGACAATAAGGATCCATTTTAGCGTAATGGTAAACAGCATAGTGGCTGAGATCTGAGGGCATGGCGCGCTCATCTGACAGAGCTGGATTCCAGTCTGATTCTGACAGCTGCTAGCTGTGGACAGATCACATAACCTCACCAACCTCAGTTTTCTCATTTGTACCTCCCTGGGCCGTGGTGAGGTTAAAATGACATCAGACACATACAATGCTGAGAACAGGGCCCGGCACATAATGACAGAGCAATTAACATCAGTTATTATTCTCTCGGCAGACATGATCTCTAAATCAGTTTCCTAGGAATTAAGGTGACATACACTCATGACGTCTTTTTAAAGTTTAGAAGAATGCTAGTCTTCTAATTCTATTCTTCCTCCACCAAAATCTCTTCTTGGAGAGCAATTTCCAGTTTAAGATCTACTTTCACAAACACCGCATATTTTTTCTGTGACCTCTAGTCAATTTCTTTTTTAATATGCCATGCAGCATTATCCCAAGCCCCCATTTTTATATGCATAGAACGACAAAAACAAAAGAAGGTGGAACATTGACTATTAGCTACCAGCAAACTTAAACAAATATTCCTAAACATTTAACTAACTAGTTAACGGGCTGGTTTTTTTTCCCCTTGGTAAGGCTATTGTAAAAGGATCATTATTTCTACTTCATAAGGATTTTATTACCATGAATTAATTCCACATGCATTATATCCATGCGAAATTAATATGCAGGGCTAGAGACCTGTGATACATATTCTCTGTTCTATTCGGAGAGAAGTGAGTACTAACTACAGCAAGGGGCCAACATCAGTTCAAATAGGTAATGCTTGACAACTGCTCACCAGTAAGCAAGACTGATATTTTGCTAACTGCAGTCACTGCTGCATAACACAAGGTATTAGCATTGACAGCAGAGACAGGAGGGCCAAAGCAATATCAAACAATTCTCTACCAAAAGAAATGTTTTTCTAGTTGTGGAAGGCAAAAGAAGCACATCAGACAGTACATAATCATGTGCTACAATGTTCAGGACAGACTGTGAATGCCAGTGTCATAAGGCAGTGATTTTCAAAAAATGTTAGGCACCTTCAGCTCTAAAGAAATCATTTAGGGGCATCCAATATGTAAAAGAGAAATGAGAATATTTGAGTTGATCGAAGAAATGAAGAGCCCCTCCCTCTCCTGTGGTCCTTAGCTGCAGACAGCACAGTTTTTAAAATTACAGGGACTTCATAGATGGATAAAATTTGAATGGCAGAGAAGGGGAGGAAGGCATTCCAGGTAGAAGGAACAGCAAGAGCAAAGGCAAGAAGGTAGGAATTCAAAGTAAGAAGACTTCCTTGTGGACACTTAGTAAGTGACAAAAGGCACCCACATGGTCACTTTTGGGTTCCAAACTGAACTTATTTTCAAATATTTTAAGCCTGGTGAAATAGTTAAAAAACACCCTAAACCAGAGAAGACAGGAAACCCGGGGTTAATGGCCTGCACTTAAATAACACGTCTTGTCATTACTCTTTCTTCGTTTCAGAATCATTTCAAGTAGTGGTGAGAGGGAATGGCTTTCGACATGCTCGCAACGTGGACAGGGTCCTCTGCAGCTTCAAGATCAACGATTCGGTCACGCTCAGTAAGTCCTTGCAGAGTTTGTGGGTTTCTTCAGCCTGCTCAGGGAAGGGAATGCCCAGCCCCATCTTCTGACAAGGCCACGCACAGGAAACTGTACAAAGAAGGGTCTTCTCTGCTGGGAGGGCATCCAGCAAAGATATAGCAAGCCCCTGCTACAGCCCGTTCTTCATCAGGAAAGGCAATGGGGGACTTGTTTCCCAATACCTGTGTGTGTGCTGAGCTACTCCCTGTCGGCGGGAGTGCCAGTGATGGTTGGGTGAGGGGATATGAAGCTTGACATTCCTTAACAAAGTACTAGGCACTCACAAGCACAAGCGGGAAAAGTAGACAACCAAAACTTATTAATTCCGAATAAATCAAAAGCTAAGCTGCAAGGCTTCCATGTGTAGATGCTGGGAGTTTTTTTTTTTCAGTCTGGATGATTCTTGCTTTGAGTTGCCAAGAAATTCATCATGGTGAATATCTGACATGAAATACAGGAATATGAAAGTAAAGCTAAGTGCATTTCATGCGAAGAATGAATTTCACAACATTGGCACTTTGACAAGACATTTGTAGCAGGCAAGTTCTTAATTTAAAGACATGTGATTCATGCAGCTGTCCAGGAGGCATGGGGAAGACTGAGTATGGGAGGACAGATGTCCAGAAAGCCTGGTTATTCTTTGCATCTGGCATCCATCACACTGAAAATTATTGATTCAGTATCTGTAGTGATAAACAGTAATAATATACTGCATTTTCTACAATGCTATGTTCTCTTAAATGCTTCACATCTTTTTGCCACAATAGCCCTGGGAAGTAGAAAGAGAACAGAGAACCAGGAAGACACTCCATTGATTGACCAGCCCCTCACACTGGTTCTGTCCTCCTCGTAGCCTTGTGGAGTAGGTATTAGCCTGTTTTTCAAAAGGAATAACTGAAGGATATGCCTTTGTTTCCTCCTTCTCATCTTAAAACCCACTTGAATATCGAAACAGAGATATGCAGTGGCTTCCTTACAAACATCTGGAATTCCTGGCATTGGAATATTTCCAAGCCTTCTTAATACTTGGAAATACTTTCATGTCTCCAAAAAGCACTTGCTATTCGAAAACATTTTGAAATATCCTTTGAGTGACAGTCACAGTATGGAAGTTGGATGTGCGCCCTCTGTAGAGTCCTTCCTTTTTTCTTTCTTTCATTTGTGATGTCGCTTAAGTCCCCCTGCCCCCTCTCCTTAACCAAAATCTCAAACCCAAGATCAGAAACTCCTGAGGGTTAAACTCAAAGACATCAACACCTTTCAGCTTCCCAGAGGAGCAAACCTTCAGATCAACCCCTCTCTGAAGATCAATGGAAATGGGGTCTAGTGTTGCCATTGCTTGGAAAGTTACATAGAGATGCTGTATTAGGTGAACATGAAATGCAAATTCATGATGGGTTTGAACAGTGACATTTTGAAAGCCTATTTTCCTGTTTGTCCATGAAATTTTATTTCTTGGGAAACCAGCTCATCCTCTTTCTTCCTCCTTCTTCCTTTCCTAATATATACTTGTAAACACCTGCACAGCCCTCCATCTTATTTACATTTAAAAAAAAAAAGGAGGTTGGGGTAGGGATTTGGCTTAAAGCACAAACCAAATAATGCTTCCAGCACAGTGCAGACAGTTTAAAGAAGGGGGAGGCAGTGATCAGCCATGCTATGTGCTGCAAGCAACATTCCTAAACTCAAACATATGCTTATTAAAAATTACTAAGGGGGAAATATTGGAATTCGAAAAAGAAAACTTCGTCCTTTATTTATTAATTTGCCTATTCATTCCATTCAGTACATAATATGAGCAAGAAATTATGGAGGACGGACAAGGTAAATAAATTTTTAAATGCAACGTATTCAAATGTCCATTTTTCTATCAACCCGATGAATATATAAAGTCTCTGTTGAGCTGTCACTATAAAATAAAATAAATTTATATGGCTTTACTTTCCCATTCTTTTTCCCTTCTTTACAATGTTATGTTTTCATTGTTATAGTATTTATTTCCTCTTTCAAGATTTTTTCCTAAATGCTGTGTTATGTTTTGTAATTATGTGCTGTTATTAATCAGAAAAAGACTAGTTAGAAGCCCAGTAGTGAAGCTAAGGCTGTTGTGGCTGTCCAAACTGTTTAGACATGATACAGGCCTCAGAGTCTTCAACAAATACTACAGTAGTGATTATGTGAAGCAAAACTGTTAAATATAAAAGAGCAAATTAAAAATTAATATTTATAGTGGGAGGTATTAACATGATTTTCTGAGTCCTTGAATGGATAATTAAAAAATGAAAGGTATCTATACCTTTTTAAATGGCTATGAACATCTTTAAACATTTATTATACTGACACAAATAAAATGCCAACATACTAAGGCCAAAAATTAAAAATAATTTAATATAGTCTTAGGTGATAATTATAACAAGAAAATAAAAAGCATAGGTTAATACCTAATTCTCCCCACTTGCCTTGCCTTTTCTTAAAATAAAATCAATGAATCAACAATTTCAAAATCTAAAACAATTTCTGAACTTGTGGTTGATATAATAAGTCCAGAAATTCTGGGTAAAATACTGTTTTAAAAAATTGTAACATGTGGCCTTGTTCAAAGGACTAAGGAGGAAACTGCCAGGTACAGGTAGCAGAAAAGGAATGCAAAAGCTAAGCAGAAAGCTAAGCTGTATGGGCGCCAGGCCTGGGGGCCTGCAGGTCATGATCCTGATGCTGATGCAGATACAGGACACCAGCCTGTGCAAGTCAGTGGGCAAGAGCAGGGCCCCCTGCAGAAATAGGTTCCAAAGGACTGCACTGCACATTAAATGGAGGCTGGAAAAGCAGCTCTGTGGCTCAAGGCAGGAGCATAAAGGTAAGATAGCATACCACCCAAAACGTGCCCGTGACCATCTGGATCCCTGTGGCCCTGGCAGAGGCAGTGAATGCCCAGCACAACCTCCAGCGTTCCTGCAGTCAACAACCCCTCAGAAGACGCGTCCCGGTACCAAATGGCAAACAAGAGGGAGCTGGATGAGAGAAGCAGGAGAACAGCAAGAAAAGAGGACTAGAGAACCATTTGAAAGAGAATGTACAATGAACACATTTAAAGTATGTAAAGGGATCAAACATACTAAAGGAGAAGAACGTTCAACACATGTATTCTCTGTGTGTTGCAGAAGAAGCTAGTGTAAATTCTAGAGTTGAAAAAGTTTATTCCCTGGCATACAACTTAATAAATGGATTAAACAGTGTGATCAGTCACAGATGAAGATGAAATACATGAACTGGAAGAGACATGTGAGGAAATCCTACCCAGAAGAGCACACCCAAATTTTTTTCACCCTAGTTTTACCAGAATTTAAGGGACAGATGGCCAGAATCTGATATGGGTCCAGGTATTTTAGCCATAAGCATCTTTGTCATAGACATTTTTGCCACAGCATTTTTACTGCAAACATCTTTGCTGCACAAGAGTTTGATGTATATCTGGCAGACAATGTGTTTAAGCTAGTTGTCAATTTCATTTGTCCATTGACAAAGTTTTTGCAGTTACTTCCATTTTTATATTATATGTAAACCTTAGCCCTCATAATGGTCTATCAAGTGATAAGTAGACATAGTGGTTTTAAAACAGTGAATAATAGCAACTACTATGAAGCCAAATTACATATTATACTAGAAAATTATCACATAGTTTTCCAGTCCTTCAATGAACACTGTCATGTTTCCCGACCATCAAAATCAAAAGGTTGCCAAGCTATAGCAAATATAAAAAAGACAGCTACTAACCCACAGTCTTCCAGAACATTAATAATCAATTCTTTAGTTGGAAACTCATGTTTCTCTGAATGAAGTAAAAAATTGCTGCAAAAAAAGAAAAACTGCTATGCCAAGAAAGAAGATGAAATAAGCAAAATATATATAAAAATATTGTGAACAGAAGACTTTGAAGACAATGGATTTTTATTTTTCATAAAAAGTCTTCTTGGTTTTGGTATTAATTTTTCATTTTTCATCATGTATTTTATAATTTCCCTTTATAATTCTTTATTTATCTTTTATGGTGACATTGCCATAGGTCAGTTAATGTTTGCAGCAGAGATGTTTACAACAAACATGCTTGTGGCGAAAATACCAGACACAAGTACAGGCGCCCAGAAAAAAAAAAAATCCCAGCTCTGTGTTAAAGCTGTGTGATCATGGCATGTTATTGAACAATCTCATGCCTCAATTTCTCTATCAGTAAAATGAGTATGACAGTAATAGCATCTCTATTGTGAGTTGTTATGAGGTTCAATGTGGGAAGTGGTACATTAGAACAGGACCTGACACACAGTAAACTGCTGATCAATGTTGGCTGCTGGTATTAATTATAATTATCATTATCACACTATTATTTTATGGAACAGCAACTGAGTAATATAAAGACATCAGTTGTCATCAAATTAATATTTAGTTTTGATACAATCCAATGGGACTTTTTAAGTTAACAAAATAATTCTAAAGTTTATATGGAAGAATAAACATTTAAGAATAGCCAAGAAAAATGTGGAAACTTGCCCTAGCTAATTTTAAGATGTATTAAAAAGCCCTAGCCAATTTTAAGATATATAAAAAGTAATTGAAACAATGGATGGCTGGTGCCACAAAAGTCAAACTGAGCATTGGAACAGGAAAAGCAAAGTCCATAAACAGAGCCAAACACTTGTTAGTTTAGCATAAAATAAAATAACCTTTCTAATGGTGGTGGGGGGAGCGTATTTTTCCAAAAATGGTTTTGAGAAAACTGGCTAACCACTTGGAAAAACAATTAAGTTTATTTTTTTCCTCACACCTTAAATCTAAACAAATTCCAGATGAAAAATTTAAATGTGAATATGAAACTATAAAAGTTCTAGAAGGAAACAAAGATATTTACATAACACTGAAGGGAGATACCATAAAGGAAAAATTTGATAGTTTGAGTACACATTTTTAAATTTTCCTGTTACCCT